CATCAACCAATGAAATTGCCCACCTTTGTTCATTTTTATATGTTCGTTTCATATGTTCGTTTCATTTTACCCCCCTCCCCCTCTCGAGAGTCCTGGAAAAGTGATGTTAACCGAAGAATCAACTTCAAACGGCCTTATTCCTATTTTAAAAGGTTTTTCCTTATATTTATTAACTGTAAAACCATTTTGCGCACTGTAACCCAAAAGAATGCTTCAACCTCGTCCATGAATCAAAGATTATAATTGTTTAAGATGTTTTGTGACGCTAAAATAACTAATAAACATATTCTTATCAGTACCAAACAGCATTATGAAGAGTTAGAGCATTGGTAGCATCTTACTATTTATACCTGATGTCTCTGATGTATGTATTGACTACATATACTTATACTTTTGCTTTTCTTATCTGAGGAATCATCAATTTCAGCATCTTTTGTGTTCATGCAACTATCCTCAATGTGTTTGCAATTCTCTAAAGAATTTTATTAATTTGATCAACTCAAAATTGGCTAATATGTTTATTAGATTCATTGAGCTTAGTAATGTGATGTTGTGATTTAACGCCTTTATTTGTTTTAAAAGCATGTGCTATGCAATTGTGCTAAAACCAGGCCAGGCGTGTGAATTAATCAATTTACAATGTATTAATTTGGCGATTATATATAATGAGGAGAGATTTCCTTCTTGAAGTAAAATAATTCAAGCTCACTGTGTGATTGTGCTATTTATTGATTTGTCTGACGTCGTGAACTAATTGAAATTTATCAAAGATAAGCTGACATTAAATATAATAAAGCCATCAACAGCAAGCAACAAGTGCTTAGTGAGATTTTGAGTTGTCTTTGCAAAGTTTATTAATGCCGACTAGGGTTGTTAATTTTCAGTATATTCTCGAGCATTCGGTGTAAAACCCATTCAAGTTGTTGTAGGTTCAAAAACTATTTTTGATTTGGGAGCTGGATTTGAGACGGGATCTTCGTAGAACCTTAAGTATTTACAGTTTGAGTGGCATGTATCCCCGGGTAGCTATAGAACAACCCAAAATAAAATGTTAAAGTATTGAGCTAATCTAACCAACCTGACCTATTAACAACCCTAATGCCGGCTTATTTGATGATGTTTTGGTCCATTAAATAGTCGTGATTTTAATTAAATTACTTATCAAAATCTAATTGCGATAAATATTTGTATACACACCCTATAACACCCTGCGATGATTATTTTAATCTAAAATATTCATTTACTGCTTTAAATTTTATCTTTATTAATGAATGCTATATTTTATATTAGGTTACATAATTTACAATTATATTTATATGCATTGATATTTATACTAAATTATTTTTTTTGGTACAGTTGACCCTCGTTAGTATCAACCTATTTGGATCACCTTTATATTCATGTTGACAGTGATATTAATGAGAATTATATTAAAGGTGATATATATGAAGGAATTTTAATATATAAAAATTTTTGTTTTGTGGTTGATATTAATGAGGGTCAACTGTATATTTCAATATATGAATTATTAGATTTTATAGTAAAATCAATATTATTATCCCAAATATACAATTCTTTCAGTGTGTTGTTCTTGCAAAGTGCATTTGCTAATGCTTTTCCTTCTTCTGATCCAAGATTATTCCCATTAAGACCCAGAGAAATTAACGTGTTATTCTTATAAAGTGCATATAATAATGTTTCTCTTACGACTGATCCAATATTATTGTAACCAAGATCCAAAGAAGTAAGCGTGGAGTTTTTGCAAAGTACATCTATTAATGCTTTTCCTCCTTTTGATCCAAGCTCATTATTATAAAGATTCAAATTCTTTAGTGCGGTGTTCTTACAAAGTGCACCCGCCAATTCTCTTCCAACGTCTGATCCAAGTTTATTCGAATTAAGATCCAAAATTTTCAGTGTGGTGTTCTTGCAAAGTGCATCTGCTAATGCTTTTCCTTCTTCTAATCTAAGATTATTATATTGGAGGTTCAAAGTAGACAATGTAGTAGTCTTGCAAAGTGCGCCTACTAACGTTGTTTTAATAATAGCATTGTTTTGTGTTAAAAAGCTGAGTGTTAAATGTTTAAGATTTTTACTTGCTCGCAGAAACATTGAAACTAAAGAGAATTTGATAGCATTTACAAGTTTATCTTTTCCGAAATCATTTATATTATAATTTTCATTTTTAAGCTAATTTTTAATCCCATCATCCAAATGAGAATCAACAGATGTAATATAACTTTCATATTTAAATAATGGCCTTGGATAATTTGGAAGATTAATTTTAAAAGGGATCAATAAAGCTTGCTCTTCAATATTTAGAGCTAAAAGATATATTCTTATAAGTTTTCTATCATCGAAATAATTTGTAGGTTCACTCCATAATACTGTAATATTGGTATAATAATTCTACACCATCGACGGTTTACGAGAAGGCATGAAAATAAGCTATTATGATCAGTTCGGAAATTATTAAATATTTCGAAAAAACATTCATTTGGTAACACTATCATTTGGAAAGAATTATGAATTTGTCATAACTGCAAGAAAATCGGATTTTGCCTCCCGTATATAATCAATTTAAAATGTCGTGAAACGTTGTAATCTAACCCAGAAAAAGGGCGGTGGCACTTTCTCGTTATAGCTATTGCTGTGACTTAATTTAGTACGTACGTACGTACGTACTGTACGTACTTACGCCCGTGCTATTATAAGGCCCGATTACCCAGTCAGCCGTCCAATTAAAACCAACCATTATGATTTAATCAAATGCTCATGGCATGTACGTACGTATGTGTAAAAATAACTAATTTAGAGCTTACAGATCTCGATTTTGCTTGGCTAGTATTTCTCATAATTTTGGCTGGAATTAGATTCTAGTTTATCAGGCTTTAGTTTTTTTTAATTCCAAAAGTAGAATATTTATGTAATTAGGCCTGCTCGATGATAAAATTATTCTAGAAGTATTTTTCACGTTGGGCTGGAATTTTATTATCCATATGGGCGAAAACTTTTGATTGGAATATCATCATCATTTAAATTAAGTAATGCAATAGAACTTTATACACACCCCTGCAATAAATTACCGGGCTGATCATTTTTTTTTACTAAAAGTTTAATTTTATTAGTAATCTTTATTTGTTACCTATTTAAGCTAATTAGTCACGATTTCTAAAATTTTTTATAAGAAACGTTCTAATCGATACTGTAGTTAGCCTTAAGTTAGTATCTGCCTGAAGTTTCATCTGCTTATGAAATCCAATTTCATTGCTAATTTCAGGTGTCTGAAGTTGCAATTTTAAGCAGATGTCAAGCACGACTGATATACGGATTTTTATTTTTATTTTTTTTGGTGTCACTAATAAGTGTTTTAAAGGGTTGTAATTTAAATTATGAGTTTCACAATATCGGCTTAATCCTTAATGTTAAATGTAAAATTAAGTTAAATGGATCATTTACATAACATAGTATTTGTGTGACGTTATAAAAAGTACACTATACTAATAGTAATATTGAATAAGACTAAGTTAAATTTACTAAGTCTTTAAATTGGGAATGTACATTAAAAATGGACTCTTTTTAGCGTGTTCCTCAAGGTCTTTCTCGAGATAATTTCCATACATATCTTCACAATCTTCGTATTCAAACTCAGCGGCAGGAACATATTCAACTATAAAAAATATATCAATTTTAGATAACAATTTTATAATTAAAGTTAAACCAAAATTGAAAACCAAACTTACGATGCCATTTAAGTTCTTTCAAACTTTCTACCGAATCTCTCGAACTTTTATCCAAACGATGGAAAGCTACTATCCACCAATAAATCAATAACATTAATACAATTACCGTAATCAATAATGAAATTACATCTATTACATCTGTTTAAATGAATTAAAATTTAAATTTTATATAAATTATTTATATAAGGAAAAAAAATTGTTGACTGACTTAAAATTTGCAATCCAAAATTTTGTAATGATAAAATTTCGATTCCTTCTTGGGCGGTTTGAGATAATGCAAGTTTATTACATTTAATAGACGAAAAAGGTAAACATAATAATTGATGTAATATGTATAGTATTTGTAATATATGAATAATACAATCCAAAATTATTGCATTATTCAATAATGTTCGAGCCTTAAAATATAAAATATATAAAATGTAAAATTATATTGATATAATATAAAAAAAAATCGGAAACATATGTAATTAAGTATACAATATTACTCACTCCTATAAATATTGTAAAGAAAGTGCATAGTGGAAGTAGCAATGACCAAGGAATGATATCATAAAGCATAGTTGGATCAACCTTACTAATTGTCAAAAAACACCATTTGGCGGTAAAGAGACAATATATAACTAACGTAAGATGGGCACAATACAATGATACCTTATAATAAGCGTATGCATCTATAACAAGCAAATTCGAAACTCAATAATTATCTCAATAATTGTAATACTACATATATAATATTAAGCAATCAATAAGTTCAACTTACTTTTTAAATCATTTTCTGGTTTTATAATCATGATAGAAGTGTGATAATTTTTAATAACTAACTTATCCTTATCCTGGTCATTATCGATATTTTCACAATCAGTTTTATGTCTACTATCAATACGTGATTTAAGCGCATATGAGCAGATTATAATATCAAGTATAAGGATGACAAAAAATATACATAAATGTATTCGTTTTTCCGTTTGATTTCGACTTAAAATTAATAATAAAATTGGAATATAAAAAGAGCAGCTAGCGAGAATAATAACAATGAAAAGAATGATAATATGAATAACCCGATCTTGAAGTTCTAACTAAAAAAAAAAAAAGTATAAAAGCATCCATTTAACAATAATAATTTTATACGTTTAATCTAATTAAAGTTGATCAAAGGATGATACTTACGGCCATTCTTAATGATGCGTTAACAGAAATATGTGCGATAAAAATGTCAATAACTAATGTAGCTATTGTCTCAACCTTAGAACTTGCATATACATATGCGTATAAAAGAAATGAAACGCTTATTATAAACCGCCAAATATAAGCTACGATTAAAGCTTTAACATTTCGAATAAGGTTAAAAAATTTAGTTATTGAATTAATTGCAGAAGATGCTTTAGGAGGTTTCTTAGGAGATTTCTTAGGAAGTTTTTTAAGTAATTCCTTAAGTGAACAAATGACCGTCGTCTTTTTTTCATAATCGATAGTTACCTTATAATAAATTTTTTTCATATTGAATTCAAATTGAAATTAACTGCAAAAATAAAATTTTGTAATTAATGACATATGAGAACCGCAAAATGAAAACTAAAAAGTTTATACAGTATATAGATTACTACTGTACTATATAAAATTAATATCATTCTATATTTAAACTTCCTGGACACTCTTATGGGTGCCAAGGGAAAGCCACATTTAGGGCTTTTAAATTTGTACTAGCGTTCAGTCTATTTTAAAAGCCCGAAATACGATTTTCTTTACCCTTACGACGCCCCATATACGTTTGCGTTCATATATGGGTGTCGTCTAAAGCCAGGCAGTAATTTATATACCTCACGTGACTTTTACTTTAAAAATTTATTATTAATCAACTTAAAAACTACCTGGTAGTTTTTGAGCCCGGACCAATTATATATATGACGTAATAACATTTTGGTTTGGAAATTGATTAAAAGCCTCACGGATAATCAAATTTTAATAAATATGGCTGTGAAGAAAATTCTAGATTTAGTTGTGCCGCGTGATCTTCGACTTTCAATGGAGTATTTATTTATTATATTCATATTGCAGCACTTTGTCCAAATATTTATTCAAGTCCCTTTTATTGCGTATGATCGGTTCCCTTTAAATTTTTTTAATTAGGAAAATGTTTTCATTTGATCATTTTCGTCGAAATGAACCAAGTGTTTTCATGCTATTAAGAGCAATATTTATGTTTATAATTGTTGCTTCATTTCTACTTTTTTTTTATTTTCTTGTTCATAAACAACATGTAAAGTTGACTAAATTAAATTTGGCTTTTTATTTAGAAGAATCTGATATCATCTTTCCAGGTATGTACGTTTAAATTAGAACAAAATTTAA